TTTTTAATTTGAACAGGAGTCCTTTGTGCCACACTCGGTCAAATGCCTGTTTGAAGTTAACGAGTGCCGCGACGCAATACTCGAAGTTCTCAAGGCTGTCACTGATGAACTCAACTACTCGGTGAAGCTGCTACGGTGTCCCATGCCGTCTTCGAAATCCGAACTGATGCCTAGGTATGATCCGCTTAACGCAATCCATTTCCGACACTCTGGCCAATAATATTCTTTCGAATGTTTTGCAGAGGGTCGGAAGCAGGCTTTTTGGTCGATAAGAATCGACTAGCGTGAGCAATTTTTTAGGTTTTGGAATCATGGCGATCAGAGCGCTTTTTCATTGCCTTGGGAAGTGTACGATTCGAAGCATCATATTAAAGATGAGTACACTGAAGAGTATGCCTTTGGTGGGGAGCAGCTTTATTGTTCTGCTGTCCAGTTCGTCAAATCCAGGGGATTGTCTTGAGTGCTTGGATCTGCGTTGATCTGGTGTTGCAAGTATCCAGTCTATGTAATTTTCCATGTGCGAGTGTGGGGAATCGAACCGTTTGAATCGCTCCTCTAAATGGGTGGCGAAGGTTTCAGCGCGTTCTGAACTCGATCTGGCCCAGGAACTATCATCTCCTTATATGGGGCTCTTGCGGAAGGGCTGTCTTTTTAGGTTTTTTGTCAACTGCCAGAGGCTGTATCCCGTGCATGCGGAGCCGCTCTTTTCAATCTCAATAGTGGGGCTGCCGCCGGATAAATTGAGTCTCGAGGGGGCGATGGCTGGATCGCTTCTATTCTATGTGTTGCAAGTTGGGCTCCTGATCGAATCTTCGCCAAGAGATATTCGATTACATCCTCGATGTCCTCAGGGGAGCTCAGAATCAGTTTAGGGTGGATTGAACTTTTGAGTTCTGCCTGGAATCTTTCAACGTCCAGATTTGTCGGCATTAGACTGGCTGGTCCGAAGAGAGGTCATATTTGGCCTCGATGGAGAGTGTATTCTGCCTAAGGCCACTATATATAAAGAAGTCTATAGCGCTAGGAGTGCGTTGCGAGTTGTACGCATAGTATGTTGCATCTCCGGTTGCCAAGACGTCGCAATAATCAAAACAAACGACTCGACAATGAAAAAAGCACACCACAAATTCTGTCCTTGAGGCTACAGCCTATGATCTTAGCTTCTGCACCCTTCCAACTCATTGTTTTGGTATCTAAGCACTGCTATGCATATAATTCGCAAAGTCATGTCTTCTTCTTCTCCACTCGCTTTCAATTAGCAAGCAGCTCGGCAGATATTTATCATTTTTTATTTTTCGATCAGCAAGACAGCCTTTCTCAAAATAGGGTATTTTAACTATTCATAAGTGGTTTAACCAAACAGCACAAACCTTCTTATATACATTTTTATCCAATGTCTATGAAAAATATAATTTCGTATTTAGTGGGCAACTATTGGTAAAATTACTTATAATTGTTTTTTTGAAACATTTAAATAATTTATTTATAATAGTTTTGTAATAATATATTTATTTTAAAATGTACTATTTTACTGTACGCTATGCTCGCACACATAAAGCCTTAAGATGTGACGTCATATGCGAAACAATATATTGTAATCTTCTTAGCTTTATATACTTCCCTTGGCCTGGCAGACTCATACTCACTACTAGATGGTGTGTTTTGAAGCATTTTGTTTCGCAAGATAATCTTTGTTGAGACCGTGCCGTAAAACTTTTATTCTCTTACTCCTTTTTTGGCCAGTTGCGCCATTTGCATTGTATTGCTAATAATACATGTGAATGTTTGAATACAATCTCTAAGGCCGATCCACCAATGTTTTGATAATCACTTGTCCTTTTTAAATTAATAAATTTTATATTCACAGAAATCCAACAGAACTTAACATGCCCGCATGAAATATTAAATGCACCAAGGCAGTCAGAACCACAATAGAAGGTTGCCGCCGCAGTCGCCGGCTTATTCCCTTGGTGACTTAGGCGTAATTCTACAATAATTAGATGTAATGTTAAGTTTCTTCCGTACTTAGACTTTAGCGTCATGTCCCTGCTCGTGCGCGAATGTTTGAGCGTTCGAAATAAGTAATAATTATTCGGCCAATCTGGAAATGCGCTTCAGCATCACTTAAACTTAAACTGAACCCATTAAAAATGGGTATAAGGGTATATTGTATCTGTGCAAAATCCAAATGTATGTAACAGGCAGAAGGAAGCATCTCCGACCCCATAAAGTATATATATTCTTGATCAACATCAATAGCCGAGTCGATCTAGCCATGTCCGTCTGTCTGTCCGTCCGTCCGTCCGTCCGTATGTATGAGCCAAAGGATCTCAGAACCTATAAGAGCTAGAGACTTGAAATTTTAGATGTAGATGCTCCTAGTCCCCGCGCAGGTCGAGTTTGTTTCCGGTAATCGATAACTTACTCCGTTTACAAGCAATTGATAAAATCGATATCGACATCCTGTTTTTTTTTAGCAAATTGGGTAAATAATAAGAGCTACAGCCACCAAACATGATTTGTTGCTTCTAGAATATTATAGATATTTCAAGTATCTTTCATTTCATACCTATCGCCACCTCCCCGCTACCACCCCAGAGCTATAAATCAAGTTAATAACCCAACTTTTATTGCCAACCAATTTAAACCATAATTTAAATGCAATTGATTATTTCAGAATACTTAAATATTCTATGGTACAATAAGATATACTGTAGAAAATTTCATAAAGATCGGTTAAGACAAACCAAAGTTATATGCAACTGCGCAATTGAATGGGGCAGCAGCTTTAAGAATTTTTGTATACATGTACACACACACATTCATGCGCGTCTGCTTCGCATTCTAATAGCATGGTAATTGCATCTTTTTTTGTAATGTTATTTTAGTTCCTTTTTTATCAAAAGTACTTAATTGTTGGTGTGGCTGCTGAGTAAAGGCATAGCAAGTAGTGAGGTCTGTCGCGAGTTCGAGCCTTACCGGGGAAAGTATTATTATATTTTTTTTTTGCTGGTATGGCTGTTGAGTAGAGTCGACAGTAATGCGGTCAGTTGCAAATTGGAGCCCTGCCAAGGGAACTTTTTTTAATAATTTATTTGGTGTTGGAATAAGAGGGTTCAGGGTATCCCCTAGTCGGGAGCTCCCGACTAGAACCTCTTATTTGTTTTCATTGCATATTACAGTTCAATGCAAAACTGCAGATTATTGATCATAGTTCAATGTAAATTACATCGATCGACAATATTGATAGTTATTCAATTCATCGATACTAAAGACTTGATACTAGCTTGTTGCCTAAAAAACAACCATTTGCTCAAGCTCAAAAAAAGGAATCCTGCGGAAGAACAATATTTAAATATTCAAACATTTTTATTGATCACAAATGGCAATAAATAGTAAATAGCAATTTGAGAATTTGTCTTAAATGCAAAAAAGCGATGTCGACCAAACATACTAAAACACCAATGACTATAACACAAACGCCAAAAAAACAGATTTTGACTCGGTGTTCATCGATGCCATTGATTTATTTCAAAAACGTAAAACGGCAAATACAATAATTTGGGAACTACTAAATATTTAGTATCAAAACAAAAGTGCAACAGGCAATTCTAAGGCAGTTTTTAATTATTGTATACAGAGGTACGGTCTAATAGAAACGATCATAACAGACATAGGTACAGAATATAAGCCGATCTACCCGAACATTGCCTGGTACGTCTATGGTTAAGTTTATTTATATTCACTGAAACCGACTATTACATGCAGTTAAACTCATTATTCGCTAGAAGATTTCCTCCGCATTTCAACTAACTGTAACGCTGAACTGCTCGGAACCCCCATGTTCGAGTTAAGCCAATCTTCCTTACCAGTTAAAGCTCAATGCAAAACTGAAGAATACAAGGCTTAATACACCGATCGATAGTCTTTAAATTTAATTATCATTTCATAGAATGTAAGCAAAAATTATAAATATTAGTTTGTGGCGTGAATATAACCTTCTCTCAGTATTTTCCCGTTCTTGCGATTTAATGTTTGCAAATTCGTGTTGTGTTAGTGTGACGGACAGTTTCCGGAACGAGAGATGAGAGATGGTTAATTCACCTGGCAGATGGTGGTGAATCTAAATTGAATCTAAAACTAAAACTAAACTAAACTAAACTCCTAAGGTAGAATCTATTGTGCCGCAACATCCCTGATAGTGCTGAACTTGCGCCTCATATATTTCATTATATTAGGGGCAGGTCCCAAGGTTGCAGTCCTCTGCCTTGACAAATGTCGCCACCACCTCCTGTATCACTTGTGCTTCTTTTCTTTTCCTCATACGTTGCCAAAGAAAGATTTAGCCGCTGATAAGCACGCAGATTCCTCTTCCAACTAAAAATGCCACCGCTGCTGGGCGTCTGAAGCTAGAAGCAGCGCCGTTTCTGATCTGCTGGGGGGCTCTATTTCATAAGTCATGAATTTGACTACTCCCATTGGGTAGAAAGTTGTTTGGATTGCTTCTACAGAAGTCTAAATTTGTCTCTAACGGCTGCACCGCATCATTATGATTCTGATTTTCGAATTGTTTACATTTTAACATCTACGGTATACTATGTTTTCTAATACATTTCCAAATGTTATTGTGTCTTTAAGCTTTAAGTCTTTAATCTGATGACAGCGTCTATCTGCGTAAGCAATTCTAGACCGATGATATCGTCGAAGGTTAAACAAGTAAATGGAAAGAAATACCTTATGTTTTTTTTTTAATTATTAAGGTCAGCCATCCAATATCAAAATGAACTACACTGTTAACGCAACGTTCTAGGCAATACGAATTTATTTCAACAAAAACAGCGTGCAATGTAGCAAACACTTCGGTGGTACTCCTAAGCCAGTTGTATAATGTAATTTAACATATATAGCATTCCTTTATTAATTTAAGGTAAAAAACCAATAAATTACGTCACAAAAAGTATAATAAATAATTAAATAGCGACAACATATTATCAACTTACAATTCATGTCAACCTGAACTACAGCCTCTACTATAGATGCTCGGGGATGGTTCACTGCCCTGCAAACAAGTTTGGAATTGAGGTCACTCCGTCTAAGAGGTCCAAGTTCAATTTCATTTTGAAGAATTTTTCCTCCTGATAAACTTGTTGTGCCACTTAGTATTTCAACTTCGTCCCGATACCATGTAATCGTTGGTGTTGGATAGCCTAGGTATATAAAGAAATTACTGTGATATATATATACATATATATGATAATTTATTTGCGAGGTGTAAGTTATATCTAGTTTAATTTATTTAGGAATGCATGTAATATTTTATTGCAATTATATATATTTTCATTGTGGACAATTGATATATTCAAAATAATAATATATAGATATAAGCCTAAGTAAATCTTCCGATCAAATGTAATATGATCGGCCACTTGTCGTTTGCCCATAGGCGATGCCCTATGTACATAAAGTATATCGTTGCACGCGCAACGCTTCGCTTCTAAAAACATGCTGGCCCTAAACACAGTTCTGTTAAGCAAGAATATTAAGCATTTAACTTTGAATACACCAATCTTAAACCGACCGCCCATAAGGAGGGACAACTACCATCACGTCTATATAACTAGAATGATTAATGAATCAAAATTATTCAAGTGCAAACTCATTTACAGGCGATCGCACCACAACATACCATACATGAGATACTATAGCTATATATAGCTATCTTGGGCACGCCGAAGATTTAATACGATTGTAGACCCAACATTTTCATAATAATCATAATGCTTTGCCCGTAACTGAAAAGCACAGGGGAAATAGTTAATGCCGATAATTGACCAAAGTCAATATATCTTGATGAACAAAAAAGTTGTTTATACAAGAACCTAGTTTTCGACCGATCGTTTCTATAGGAGCTATATGATATAGTGGTCTGACGATAATAGGTCTTTATATATATGGGAAGCATAATAAAACTAATAAATAAACTAATAATAATAAACTAATTTGGTCATATCTTGATGAACAAAAAATATGTTCATACAATAACCTATTTGTCGACCGATCGTTCCCATGGCAGCTTTATGATATGGTAGTCTGATATGAATAAGATTTAACATAAATGAAGGGAGCGTAGTAGGATTTTGTATATATATGAGAAGTATAATAAAACTAATAAATTCCAAGTTTGGTCAGATATCTTGATAAAAAAAGATGTTTATAGAAGAACCTACTATTGGACCGATCAATCCAAATATCGATCGATGTGAATAAGATTTAAAATAAATGAAGGGAGTATAGTAGTTTTCCAAAAGCCGAGTTTGGTAAAAATATTTTGAAAAACAAAAAGTTTTCCATACTTTTCTTTTATTTCACTTTACTTTCTTTTCTCTTCTTTTATTAGCTAATTTGTTGATACTATGCTTAAGCATCTTAATCTAGCTTTACAGCTTTATAGCTTTATAATGGATTGAACATACTTAACATTACATATTAGGTTCTAAATTATTTTTTGGTTTGTGTTTTCCTTATCTAAGTACCCGGTTTGGGAGGTCGATGGGGTGGATCCTGCGAAGTCACCGTCGTTTTCTTCTGCAAAGCCTTCTTGCCAGTATATTGGGGTGGGCAGAAAAACGGGCCATGTAGTTGGTGGACTGCAGACGTAACAGGTCACCCACCAAGGGAACCTTTAGGTTTCTTGCTAAGTCTCGGTTGCGGATGTACCAGGGGGCTCCAGTACTTAGTCTCAGCACCTTGGAGTGGAAGACACTACTTTTATTCCAATGGGATTTTGCTGTAGTGCCGCAGATTTGTCTTGCGTAGCGCCAAACTGGTGCCAGTAGGGATTTGTACAACAGCACCTTGTTGTTCAGAGAGAGCTTGTTGTTTTCCTTTAAGAGCCATGTCTTTTTGTCGTAAACTTTGACGTACTGTTTTTATATGCTCCAAATGAGCCTGCGATCGAGGTGGACTCCAAGGTCTCTGCGGATCGCGAATGTCGAGCACACCGATTTTTGCCTGTTGAAGGCAATTCGCCACTTAGATGCCCACGTCTCAAAATCGTGCAGGTATTCTTGCAGTTGGTCGGTTGCTTGGTATACACAGCTAGATTTGGGAAGGATTGCTGTGTCGTCCGCAAATGTGGCGAGATTAAAGCTATCGTGATGTTCCAGTGTCGTCGGGTCTACCGTCGGCATGTCGGATGTGTAGACAGTATATAGCCACGGAGCAAGGACTCAAGGGCAGTTCCCCCTGGGGGACTCCAGCTTGGGTTTCCTTGACTCCTGAGAACGTGCCGTCGACTACTACACGAAATTTTCTATTTTCGAGGAAGCTGTGGAATATATAAAACAGAGAGAGGGGAAGCAAAGTTTTTAATTTGAACAGGAGTCCTTTGTGCCACACTCGGTCAAACGCTTGTTTGATGCTCACGAATGCTGCGACGCAATACTCGAAGTTCTCAAAGCTGTCACTGATGAACTCAACTATTCGGTGAAGCTGCTACGGTGTCTTCGAAATCCGAACTGATGCCTTGGTATGATCCGCTTAACGCAATCCATTTCCGACACTCTGGCCAAAAATATTATTTCGAATATTTTGGAGAGGGTTGGAAGCAGGCTAATTGGTCGATATGATTCGACTAGCGTGAGCGATTTTTTAGGTTTTGGGATCATGGCGATCAGTGCGCTTTTCCATTGCCTTGAAAAGTGTCCGATACGAAGCATCGTATTGAATATGAGTACATTGAAGAGTCCCTTGGTGGAGAGCAGCTATATTTTTCTGCTGTTCAGTTCGTCAGATCCAGGGGCTTTCCTTGTCTTAAGCGCTTGGATATGTGATTCGACCTCTTTAAGGGTCACGTGGACAATGGACAGGCCAGGTTGATGTGGTGTTTCAAGGGTCCTGTCTACATATTCTTCCAGGGGACAGTGTGGGGAATCGAACGTTTTAAATCGCTCCTCTAGGTGCGTGGCGAAGGTTTCAGTACGTTCCATGCTCGATCTGGCCCAGGTACCATTACCTCTTTTTATGGGGGTTTTGCGGACGGGTTGTCTTTTTTGCTGAGCTGCTGGTTGCTTATGGCCGCAAGGACTTTCTGGAGCCGGTTGGATATCCTTCTGTAAATCCTGTTCACCCTTTGGTCACCAGTGCGCACGTACTCTTTTCGGAGCCGCCTTTTCAATGCCAGTAGTTGGGCTACCGCCGGGTGGATTGAGTCTCGAGGGGGAGATGGCTGGATCGGTTCTGTTGCATATGTTGTAAGTCGGGCTGCTGCCCGAATCTTCGCCAAGAAATAATCGATAGCATCTTCGATGTCCTCAGGGGAGCTAAGAGTCATGTTGAGGTTGATGGAATTATTGAGTTCAGCCTGAAATCTTTCCACATCTCCATTTGTCGGCAATAGTTTCTTTCTTTTTGACTGCTGTAAAGGGTTGGTGTGGACAGTAGCCAAAAGAGGAAGATGGTCCGAAGAGAGGTCATATTTGGCCTCGATGGAGAGGAATTCAGCCCAAGCCCACCGTATATGAAGAAGTTTATTGCGCTTTGAGTGTGTTGCGAGTTGTACGCGTAGTATGTTGCATCTCCGGTTGCCAAGACATCGCATCTGCAGTCAATGATAGCTTCGTGCAAACTCTGCCCCCTCGTACAGGCTCTGTTGTTTCCTCATAGTCTGTGTTTCGCATTCCAGTGAGTTTCCGAGTTTTTATGAAGTGTGTTAAGGTTCTGGTCCATTCTTGAGGTAAGCCTTAACATAGCCTCTTCAAGAGCCGCAATTCTCAAGCTAGTATCGTCGTTCAGTTGGTTTCCGGAAGTGTTGTAGGACTGCCTTTCATCCGGTATGCGTTGGATGGCGTCTCTTCGCTGGCTGTTTGCTGGCGTCAGCACATCTACCACAGACGAATTTCTTCATACAGTAATTCTTTAAGTGTCCATAATCCTGGAAGCGGTGGCATTGGACAACGTCAGCAGATCGGCGGGGACGCTCCACTAAGACTCCTTGCCGGCATAGATGGTTTATTTTCAGCGCTTCCTTATTGTTGGGGGCCGGTTTGTGGTCCAGGAAAAACATATGTAGCCCGCTTTGCTCCGTGCCATTTGTGGCCTTGCCTTTAGGGTTATAGATATTTACTACATTGTGTCCTTTATTTTGCATCTCCTTGATAATATAGCCTTGGGCCGTAGAGAACGCCATCTGTTTGCTGACAATGCGAAAAGGTTTGTCTTCATGCAGCTGGTAGTGGTAGTAGGGATATAAGGCACTGTACCGCTTTGTGTGTTGATTGCTAGTGCGACAGGAGTTGTATTGGGCATATCTACGGCGCATGGGGTGGTTTTAGGGTGGCATGATGGCTTTCTGCTGCTGTTTTGCGGATTCTTAGGGCCTACTGAGCTGCGAGCTGTCGCAGAAGTAGCTGAAGCCACTGCATAAGTGACTGCGGTAATAGCGGAGGTGTTGGCTGTGGTCGTGACATAGACCGGGTAGCAGCTCGAAGGAATAGCGGGAATTTGGCTCTCTCAAAGCACAGCTTTGTACCGCTCATCTAGTCGCCTCGCTTGGGCCGATAATACTCTATCATCTATAGCTCTCGTTTTGGAGATATACGATGGGGACAAATGATATATTTCTGAGTCATTGGAGTTACTATGCGTGTCCATGCTGAGAAGTATTATTACTTGCAGAATTTGCGGCAACGGTCCCCAGAAGTCTCAAAAATATGCTGGAAGATAACAACTGCACTGCAAAAACGTAAACAATTGCACGCACAATCACACACGCACTAGGGTGCACTCAACATATAAGATACGTTTTGCGCTCGCTTCTATGCAGCTGCAGCCGCCTGCGCTGGGTTTTATTACCCTTGGGCAAGATAATTTCTGTTTGTTTTCTGTAATAGTTTTAGTTTTTTTTTACAAATTATTGTTGCCGGCAATGCCGTAACAGCATAACCCAAAATTTAAACAGTGACGCTTAGCGTCAGAAAGTTTATTACACGCCGATATTAAATCGTAAATCACTTTGAATTGTTTACTACGCACTTCCGTCTCGTTCAACTGTCGGAGAGAAACTGGGTTTTCCATTCAACAACTTAATTTTCGATCGATGGCAACTATATGATATAGCGGTCCAATGTTGATTGGATTTTGCATATATATCAGACTCATAGTAAAACCATAAACTCATAGTACCCTGAACCCTCTTCTTCCAACATCA